TTACGCCCCAGACATCACCCGCCCGCGACTATAACCGGGGCAAGGAGACGCTGAGGAAAGGGGGAGCGAGAGGGCAGCCATCCTGGCTTCCCGGCACCCCAAGCACCCAGCCCTCCGGGCAACAAAGAAGGACGACGCAGGCAGCTGGCGACTTGCCCTGGGACGGGCACGGCGTCTGCGACGGGGTGAGTGATTCGACCTTGCGCCGGCCAGGGGGGCCGGCGGCGCGGGAGTGGAAGGAGCCCGAGGCGGGACCGTTCTGGCGCCCGTGGGCAGGCGAGTTTCGGGCGGCTGCCCCGCCTGCCGTGGGGGGAGCGCTTTAAAGCACCCATCCCACTTAGGGCCTCGGGCTGGGACCCGGTGGTGAGGGCGGGCCCGGGTCCCCCACTCCCCCACGCCCCGACCTCAGTGTAGGTCCACAAGGCGGCGACGGCCGCACACACCACCACTCCCCTTCCCCGCGGAGAGGGACAGTGAGACAAGGGGGCAAAGACTAGAGGGACGGCTCAAGAGCCCCGGTCGGGCCCCTGGCCGGGGGCTGCCCGGGAAGTTACCGGCCCGGGTCCGCCGAGCCCCCTCGGCCCTGCTCGGGGCGGGGGGTGATCGCACCCGGGGCCGGACTCGCCCGTGAACCCCGGAGGGCAGGGTAACTGGGCGTTCCGAAGGCGGTGGGTTCGCGGAGCCCCACCCCACCCCGCCGGCCCAGCCCGTGGGATCCGGGGTGTGGAGCTCGCACCCTTAAAACCCGCTACAGATGGTATACGGAAGTACGTAAAGTTTCGATGTGCAACAGTCTACATAACTCTGCCATTAGCTTGGATGATACATTGGTGCCCTGGTTGATTAGTATTTCCCGCGGGATCCCCATTCTAGAAAAAATCTTCACTAATTCCACGGCTAACGTTGGGGCCATCGTGTTTTTCAAGGGGATGGCCTTGGGATACCTGGTGGCATAGTCCAGTAGGACTAATATATACTGATATCCTGTCTTGGACTGTTCTAAAGGGCCTACTTGGTCTAGGGCCACCCGATCAAAAGAGACCCCTACCACGGATAAGGAGACTAAAGGAGTTTTTGACTCGGTTCGGGGCTGGGTTAGCTGGCACTCCGGATAGGAACTACAAAAGTACTGTACCTCTTTATGCACCCCTGGCCAGAAAAACTTCTGGGTGATTCGCTGCAGGGTCTTCTCCATTCCCAGGTGGCCCGCCCAGGGGTTCCATTGGACTAGTCTCAGTACTTGCCTTCAGTAACCTTCCGGGACTAATAAATGTTGTAAAGTCCCTCGCCCCCCTCCTGCATCTGTTTCTAGATACAAGCGGTCCCCTCATACCTCAAAGGAAGGCCCTTGAACCCGATATCGTCCTGTGCCACGATCCGGTTCTGCATTGCCGGCTTGTTCCCAGGCTCTCGTCAAGGAGGGGTCTTCTCTTTGCTCCAGTAGGAAATCCTTTCCTGTCACCCAGTCTGTCAAGTCATCCACGTCCTCGGGGGTCTTCCCGTTTCAGTTCGAGGTGGGGGGTTGGTCCGCCTTTGTCGATCCTCTTGTTGCCACCTTCTGAACAGCCAAGGCGTTCTCTGGTTCCCGGCTCTCTGACTTAGGGGAAGTTTGCCAACTCCAGGTTTCTACTACCCGCTGGAATCCCGGCCAGTCTGGCCCCAACAGCACCGTATACGCCAATTTTGGTGCTAAGGAAACTTGGCATATCACCTCTTCTACTTCATCTACAATCCGTACCCAAGGTGTTGGATAGGACTGTGCATCTCCATGGACACACTTCATCCATACCAGCGTCCCGGCTCACACGGGTTCGGCAACCAAGTCTGCCCGTACTATTGCCTGCCCACACCCAGAATCCACCAGGGCCTGTACTGAGGTTCCTTCCACCTTTCCCCCACCGTCACTTTTCCTGTGCCGTGGGGTTGGGCCCTATGGGTTAGAGGCACTACCTGCCCAAAGGAGCAGTCCAGAAAGGGACAGTCTCTTCGAAAATGCTTGGCCACACTCATAACAGCAACTTCGAGTCATTGCCCCCAGCGTCGGTGTTCATCCAACTTCATCCCACCTTGTTCCTTTCTTTCCTTTCCCTGGCCTCAAAGCCTCCACTTCTGCTGTGACTGGCTTGTTATCCTCCCTACTCTGCGGGGCCCATACTAGCCCTCGGCCCCTACCTCCTCGAGGAAGGCGGGCTCTCCCCAGGAGGGGTCACTCTGCTTGACTTCCCGAGGATACTTTTTTCCTCCTCCTGTCCTTCAGCAGTTAAACAGTCTTCCATGAGAGTGACGGTTTCGGCCAAAGTTGCCGGCCTATGTCGCCGCGCCCATCTTTGAGCCTCCCTCAGCAAAATATGTAGAAGTTGTTCTAACGCTATCGTGTCTGCCAATTGGTTGCTCATACGGCGATCTGGTTCTAGCCATCTCCAGCAGGCCTCACACAATTTCCAGGCCATTGCCCACGGGCGTGCCCCCAGTGGGTACTGTTCCTGCTGGAACTTCTGCCTATATATTTTGGGCATTACCACGGCTTGATCTAATATAGTTTTTTTTCTCCTTTAATAATTTAATGCCTCCCTGGCAGCTAGGCCCCGATAGGCTAATTGGGCAGGGCCCGACAGATAGGGTGCGAGTAGCATGACTCGGTGCTCCTTGGACCATCTGGCCACTGTGGCCACTCTTTCAAAGGTGACCAAATAAGCCTCGGGATCGTCTTGAGGGCCCATCTTCATTAATCATATGGGTAACTGTGGGATCCCAATTGTGCCTTCCTCTACAGGCAGCCCAGTTCCCCCACCAGTTTGCCCCAGGGTGATGCCCTGCTGGAGCCATCACTCATGCTGAGCTCGTTGCTGATCAGCAAGCTCCCGCAGCAACTGGCGCTGCTGTTCCTGGTTCTGAGTGGCCAATTGCTGCAACAGTTGAGTCTGTTGCTGTTGCTGCCGCTGTTGCTCTGCCAACCACTCAAACATTTTAGTTGGGTCCATTGTGCCCCCCATCCCTATTATATTCTCTCTTTTTTTAATTATTATTATTTTTTTAAAGGTGCCCCTTAAACCAAGGGTTAGGGTCAGATACCCACATTCTCCACCATCTGTTCTGGTGTGTATTCCCTCAGAACTTCAGGGGCTTCATCATCAGGAGTGCTCTCCTAACCGTCCTCAAACCCCGTTCACACCTAAACCCTTTCCCCATGTCCCTTTGTGTCCTTCATTCTTCACTTGCGGCTAGCAACTCCCGGGTCCACGGAATGGTGCTGTCAGGCTCAGGGGAGGGGGACCTGGGCCCTCCCTCACTCCAGGTCCCAACCCAGGACCCTAAGGACAGGGGGCACTCCCCTGTCTGGTTGGTAGGGACATACCCCGTAACTCACCAACCCGCGGGCTTCTGGATGCCCCGTCCTGGGCTGTTTTCTCCTCTCTGTCCTGCTCAGTCTCCTCTGCTCAGGTCCTGTGTGCTCCTTCTGGCATCCAGCACTAACCTTTTGAAGGGCCCGCGCCCTGTCTCTCCTCCCCTTCACATGCCCACGCCGGCACAGATGCCAGGAAACGGCGCCCCCATGCATGCGCTCAGAGTGGCACCTGAGCAAATCCCGCACCACCGACATGGGGCCATCTTTTGGCCGCAGAGTGCTTCTATGGTGTCTCAGGGAGTGCGGGAGTCAGTCTGACACCCCATCATAGGGGGGTAGATAGTATATCAGGAAAATGCTTAAACTCTGTTCTGCTTTGTACATAAATGCCAAATTCTTAATGTGAGATTTACCCAGAGGCCCAATTCTACACTTAAGAATGGATGTTAAACTTCTGCTTTCTTTATATTACATTTTGACTGAATTACTGAAAAATTAATTCATAGGAACCAACTTGCAGAAATAAAAGGAT